GTTTTTGTTGGGTTGGGATCGGAGAGGGGGGGGCGATCCTAGAAAGGAGGAGGAAGAGAATGAGGGAGGGAAATGGGAGTCGTATAAATAGAGGTTTTGAAGTGGATGTCTTTGCTACGTATTTTAGACAAAACATTTAATAAATTAAAAACGTGTAGAAACTTTATTAAATATATTTTGACAGAATAATTTTCTAAATTATATAAAAGGTGTTTCGAACTCGATTACAAAAAGACGGACACACTACTTTAAATGGGTGGCCTAACTCACTTTACATTCCTAATATTAGAACATGTCACAACTCATTTCCTCATTCATACAAAGAAAAGAAGACAAAAATCAAACTCAAAGAAGATATTGTAATTTGTAAATTTGGATTATAGGTGGGTCAAAAGTTCATGTATCACAAACTATGATTACATCTACGTATCCATCAATTGCTGTTCTAAGTATATTTAAATATTAGAAGCGATATATGACCTTTTGCCTTTTTCTTTTTCTTTTGCATGTATTATTGCATTGCTTAAGTCAGCTTCCTGCATGGGGTGAATTCCAACCAAATATTTTAAATTTTTCATTGTGGTTAGGCAAGAGAATTCAAATATGGAATTCATAAGATAATATAAGATATGGTATATGATTTGAAACATATTTGTGATATACATGAAGGGAAACAGATTTTCATAGGATGAAAATTAAAAAGAGAAGAGAGAAAACTAGCTACCGCGACTTCAACATATTATATACATGCAGAATAATGATTTATGTTATTAGACTGTCAATTTCAATTACACATTCATAAAATATTCACCTTATTAATTATTCACATCGACAATTTAACAATATAACATTTTTTTTTTTAAGTAAGTATTATATATCAAGCCAACTCCTTAGGTTGGCCTTTGTACTTTTTTGATTATATGTAATGATGCTCTCACAACCATGCCCTTTTCAAATGGAATAGTAGGTGGTGCTTTTCTGGTGCAGGCTCAGAGGCCACTTGCTGTACCTTTGACATAATTCATGAATATATGATGGAGAATTTCTCCTCCCACATGCAATCATGCATGCATCTATAAAATATTTATTTATTTGGATCACATGATTTTCTTCCAACTGATTTAATTTAACATTGGATTCACACTTATCCTCTTGGAATTTTCTGTGTAATTTCTGCAAGCTAGCTAGCAAGCAATTGTTTATCTATTCTGGCATTGACCTTAAATATATTGCTTAGTTACTACTCTGTCTAGTCAGAGGTACTGTTTTCTCCTGTCACTAATTTTGGAACTTCCTTGTCCTCAACGATCCTTCATGTCCCCTTCCTCACCTTGCCTACCACAATCCATCTACAACAACACCACATTTTGTCATCTTGCAATTTGCGGTAGATCTAAGTTTTTGAGCTTACACATCTGTACTTGTTTATAGACTTTAAATTCACCTTTCTTTCCAATAGGGACACCAGCACCTTTCGAAATGGGGCTAATTCTATCTTTTTCAAGTAAAAACTTTGAGAGGTCTGCCTAGACTCTGGACTGTTCCATCAGCTAACCAAAAGAAAAAATTACAATAAGTGGAAGAATAGACTGCAAATTACTATCTGAAAAATGGGAAAACCCACAAGCAAAGCAAGGAGCTGCCAGAAAAGCCAAATGTAGATTGAGAGAGAAGAGTATCTGCAACATTAGGAGGAGCCAAAGGAAGGTATGAACTTTGCAAGCTCAGAAACCTGAAAGTACCAAATTAACTTGAACTTACACCAGATAAAAGATAAAAAGATCTTTCACTACATACAACTCAATCTAATAACCTCCACTTTCATAACATACATCTTTAAAGCTCCCAAATGCTCTACAAACTAATTTCAGTACATATATGCTGCATATGCAAATTCAACTCACTACTCTGATATGTTTCTTTTTTCAATATAATTTGTATGAAATTGGTAAAATTTTTCAGAACACAAGTTATCCACTTTCCCTATGTGTAGCATGTGTTCAATTAGCAGTCCAAAAAAGCAACACTATCATTTGATAGGCCACGTAAACTGTAAGTCCACCACAGATGTGGCAAGATGTGATCCAATATTTCCAGATAATCTAGAAAGAATGGTTTTTTTTTTTTTTTTCCCTCGGTATCATCTTCATTTTTGTCAAACGGTAGTTGGTGCCGTCCCTCCCTTTTATGTGTCACTGAAACTATTAAAAATGCCACAATGCATTGGCCTCAGACTCTCTCCTAGACTGCCAACTTTGGCGGGTATATGTCCTTCTTCTTCATCATCTCATTCGGGTCCTAGCGCTGTTGGGTCTGTTCCCATTCTAGCAAAAGCACTAAACAAGTGGAAAACTGGAGGCAGAGCGCCTCGCCGTTTGGTGTTGGGCCTGGGGGTCTCCTT